CCTGCCTACCAAGGACCAACCCTTACAAAATCAGGCTGTTCTACTAAGTGAAACTGAAATTGAATTCAATGCAATTTGAAAGTATTCTGTTTACTTAAAGCCTAGAAGCCTGGCGTGTGAAGAAGAATCCAGGGACAGGAGATGGTTGTTAAATTTGTACATTTTTCTTTCTTGTTGCAATTTTATCTTTGCCGAGAAATTTAATGAAGACTCCAGAGAAAAGAATTAAATGTCTGCTGGTTCAATTACCAAGTAATGAAAAGGTCGAAAGGAGCACCATGCACTGTGTGCGGAGCTGCTAGTTCAGCCTATTCTTAGAGTAAAATTCTTTTCCGTGCTGTTCACAGTCGCATTTTGCCACCCACAAACTGTACAGATGAGTGTTGGTGTGAGAAGCAAAAACCACGTGCTGGTACAGATCATCCTCCACAAGGTGAAAGGGCCTTGGTCCCTGGGGAGCATCTCATGACACCCACGCAGAAGCTATGGGCAGAGTAGAGGCCATGGATTTCAGGAGGGACCAGTCTGTTGTTAAATCCACACTTTGAGAAGATTCTAATCATCCTTGGCGCTGAATACATTTTTAACCAGCCTGTTCTTAGGACCACATGCAGGGGAAGCCTCAGGAGCAAAACAGACTTGCGAGCAAGGATTTCAAGGGCTCCCAGCAGTCCCTGACAGCATTTGGAAAGCCACTCCTGTCCCCAACCTGCCCCAGTTGTACATAGAAAAGAAAGATTCCTGTAACACACAAATCCTCTACAGAAGCTAAAACCAAAGATAAACTATGGTGCTTTGGAATTCCTTAGAACTTTGGTTCTAATGTTTTCAAAATCAAGCCTCCAAGAGACTGAGGCAGGAGAATCGCTTGAACCCGGGAGGCAGAGTGTGCAGTGAGCCGAGACCGTACCACTTCACTCCAGCCTGGGTGAAAGAGCAAGACCCAGTTCCCCCGCTGCCACCACCCCAAAAATCAAGCCTTCCTAGAAATACTATGCAAGGGAAGGGAAGAGGCAGTTAAGTATAGACTCCTCTCACCTCAGCACCATGGTGACAGTCTCCTTGCTCACGCTGGGACCACTGCAAACACCTGTTACCACCAACACTGAAAGACTGAATGAGAAAGTCATCATATAGCTTATTCTTCAGCTTTAAATCAAGTTCTCTTTTGGTTATATAAAAGTCTTGTTTTTAGGAAATACACACTGAAATGCTTAATGATAAAGGGTTATGGCTATGATATATATAACTGACCCATAGAAAAAGTATGTGTCTCTATATCTCTGGACATACATGTATGTGTTCATATACATACATGTATATGTGTTCATATACTTACACGTGTGTTCATATACATACATGTACACTCATAGTGTTCATATACATGTGTGTTTTTCATATATACATTCATGTTTATATAAATGTGTCTATATGTTCATAAATGTGTGTGATCATATACATATGTGTGTTCATATACATATGTGTATACATATTAATATTAATGTATGTTTGCATGTGGTGGGAAGGCAAGCTAGAACAAATGATAAAGCAAACAGGGTGAAATGTAAACAATAGGTGAATCTAGGGAAAGGGAATTTGAGTAGTCTTTGAGCTCTTTTTATTTACTTATTTGCTTATTTTATTTACTTATTAGAGATAGGGATTTGCTATGTTGCCGAGGTTGGAGTACAGTGGCTATTCACAGGCACAATCACAGTGTACTTGCACTTGCTATGGCTGGAGACAGGATTATGGCTCAGGAAGGTGAGAATATCTCTAGCTAATTTCTTCCTCTTTTTCCTTAAAGTACTATATCCAAGGACATTAGATGTTTAAGGTTTTAAAAGTAGCTAAAGTATCTCAAACCACTTTAAAATATATGAAAAAAACAAAGTATATGAAGAAAAGAAAACTCCCAAATTATTTATGCCACTCTTTTATTTTATTTTTTGGTCTCTTGTATAAGATACAACAAGATCAATACCTTATGAAAAATCAAAGCTCTTTGAATATAGGAAGAGACCTTGATTGTTACTGTTTCTCCTGTATTGCCCAACAACGGAATTGTAGAGTGCAATTGAGTAAAGACATGAATAAATGAATAAGCAGCACCTAAAATAAAGTTTTAAATTCAACCGCTCACCTTGAGAATTCATTTTAAAATCTACTAATATCTAAGCAGAGGCATTTTTATCTATGGAGTTCTCTCTACATATTTTTATCCTCCTTTTCTCTATTCTTTTTTAGACCTCTGTATCTAAAGCTGGCTAGGGCCGTTAGGAAAAAGAAAATGTAAGGTACAAAAGGGGAGAAGATATTTGCTACATACATTACTGATATAGGATTAATATCTAGAAAATAAAATTCATTCCTACAAATAAATTAGAATTAGACAATTCAAAAGAAAAATTGTCAAAAACCTGAATACGCATTTTACTGAAGAGAAAGCACAAATGGCCAAAATGCTTGCAAATATGTTTAAAGTCATCAGTAAGTGGAAAAAGCAAATTAAAACCACAAAGATCCTGTCATAACCACTAAATTGGCAAAAATTTCAAAGTCTGACAATACCAAAGTGCTGACAAAGACATAGAACAATGGCACGCATATACTGCTGGAGGGAATAAAAATGGGCACAGCCACTTTGGAAAACAATTTGGCATTACATAGCAAAGTCGAAGGTATGCACACCCTATGACTCAACATTTCCACTCCTGTGTATGCCTGAGAAACTTCAGCAAAGACGCAGTGGAGACCGTGTGCAAAACTATTCATAATAATACTTTCATAATGGAAGCCATCCAAAGTCTGCCAACAAGACCAGTAACTTGAGGCATATCATATCACGAGACACTCTACAGCATTGAAAATGTATAAACAACAGCTGTATGCACCAACAAAGATGGCCCTCAGGAACACGATGTTGGGTGAAAAAAAGCAAATTGCAGGAGAATGCATACTTATGAGCCCATTGGTGGAAAGTTCATAAGTGATATGTTTTTAGGAATAGAAATATATGTGGTAAAAGTATAAAGAATAAGAGAATGATAAATAAAAATTCACAGTAGTGACTACCTCTGTTTAGGGCAAAAAAAGTAATGTGGGCCGGGCGTGGTGGCTCACGCCTGTAATCCCAGCACTTTGGGAGGCCAAGGTGGGCGGATCACAAGGTCAGGAGATCGAGACCATCCTGGCTGACACGGTGAAACCCCATCTCTATTAAAAAAAAATACCAAAAATTAGCCAGGCAGGGTGGCAGGCCCCTGTAGTCCCAGCTACTTGGGAGGCTGAGGCAGGAGAATGGCGTGAACCCGGGAGGCGGAGCTTGCAGTGAGCCGAGATCATGCCACTGTGCTCCAGCCTGGGTGACAGAGCAAGACTCCTTCTCCAAAAAAAAAAAAAAAAAAAAAAAAAAGGAATGTGATCAGGAAGGACAAGGTACATGGGCCTTTAAAGAAAATGCTAATGGTCTATTTCTTAAAAGGGGAAGTAGGCACACATTCATTGTATGTTATTCTTTACACTATATATATATACACACACATATATATATACACATATATATACACACACACACACACATACCCACAAATATTATTTGGCGTGTAGTCAATATTCAATACAAATGACATTTAAGAATTGGTGAAGAAAAAAATGACTGAAAATATTTTCTTCAGGACTTGCTGGAAAAAGAAAAGAAAATACAACAACATACCAAGCCATTAGACTCTGACAATCTTTCCCTTCAAACATGCCAGAGTTGTTTACTTGTCTCTGGGTTCCTCTTTGCTCACTTATGCCAAAACCAACTATCACTCAGAGGTACCAGTTGTCCGGACTGGAAGAGGGTTTCATGATGCTCATCTGAAGCAGCAGCCAAGCTTTTCTCTCTATCTGTCATCCTACCCCTCATTAAAATTCAGCCCTCCTCCAGGTATGAATGACAAGCACATTACCCTGTTCACACGGGTGCACACATATCCAATTCTGCAGTTTGATTGGGTTATTATTACATCCAAATATTACTGAAAGCCATTATTACCTGACTCTTGACTTTGACTTATTTTATAATATTTGTACACATTTCATAACGATAATAGAGCACTACATTTAAAACAAATCTTCTCCCTCTCCTCCAATCAGAACCTGAAATCTTAAAAAGCTCCCTGAAACACAGAAACCTGTCTCTTCCTCTTACTACAACCATGTAGCAACAGCCCCTTAAACCAAAAGTAAAATTTAGAGTGGTGTAGCTATTGTCATTACAACACTTAAAAGAAAAAAAATAAATCTAACTGCAGTGAAATATTACTCCTCACCCGGATAATTAAAAGAAAACATTCATGCCTCCCTTCCTCTACCCCAGCTCCATCTGCCACCCAGTGGATGGGAAGGGAGAAGATTTTGCTACAATTTCAGTATCGTGACAATTAAAAAAATTAATTTTTTCATATCAATCACTACAGGGAAATCAGGCTTGATTGGTGGTAACATTCCAATACAGCAAAAATTAGAGACTGGTTTTATTAGTCCATTTTCACACTGCTGATAAAGACATACCTAATACTGAGTAATTTATAAAGAAAAGAGGTTTAATGGACTCACAGTTCCACGTAGCTGGGGAGGCCTCACAATCATGGTAGAAGGTGAAAGGCATGTCTTACATAGTGGCAGACAAGAGAGAATGAGAGCCAAGCAAAAAGGAGTTTTCCCTTATAAAATCATCAGATCTTGTGAGACTTGTTCACTACCATGGAACAGTATGGGAAAACTGCTCCCAGGATTCAATTATCTCCCACCGGCTCCCTCCCACAACACTAGCAATAAAGGGAACTACAATTCCAGATGAGATTGGGGTGGAGACCCAGCCAAACCATATCACTGGTTAAAAAAAATATATATATTATTCTAAATGACCTACCTGGAAGACTCCATCACTGGGTACCCTGAAGTATACTAAAGACCCACTTATTAACTGCCTTAAAACTACAACCACTTACCTCAGCATACTGTGCTGCTGAACTGGCTTCAACTGCATAAATTCTCCTAGCTCCAGCCTGTATGGCAAAAAATGACAGGATTCCCGATCCACAACCAACATCTAGAACCACCCGAAAGGAAAGAAGACAAAAAACAAAAAGTGTGAAAACACAAACAAGTGCTTGGCTACTGGCACAAAGCCAGCTTTGGGTGTTGAGGTCAGACTTATTAAAATACTAGCTTTGATGTTTCTAGTGGCCTTACCTTGGCAAGGTTATGAATCTCCGTGAACCTTGTTTTTCTCACATGTTAAATGGGGTTAATAACAAACACTCTTAGAATTGGATGTAGAGATTAAATAATATGAAAGCATGCAAAGCACTTGGCACATAATTGATGTTTCACAAATTATTGCTATTATGATAGTTTCTTTGTAACATGGACTGCTTTGAGGATGCTTAGGGCCAAGAGAAGTAGGTGTCACAAATGAGCTTGCTCCACCAATTCTATCAGCATAAACAAACGAAAACGGTGGCCAGTAATTTTTGGAATGATATATCTAGGTTTAGAAATCACTGAAGATAGTCTTGAAAAATTCAAAAGTGAGGTGTGTGCTTTTATACCAGGGCCCCTCCATAAAGTTGGAGAGGTTTCTCTGGAGGGTAGGAGCAGATGAAGGTAGTGGAGCGATGAAATTTTTCTTCCACTCTCTGTGTTCAGATCTGGATCTTAGATCAAGAAAACCGCCATTTACTGGCACAAAAAGGCCAACACTGAACCCTGCATGCAAGGGGTGGATGGTATGTGGTCAGCCCCTTTCTCCAAGCACTGCTGGAGCTAAGGCTCGAATCTCAGCCTGATCATTGAAATTTCAAGTTACTGTATTTCTGTCTCATTGATGCCTTTTAGTCTCAGCATCTTTTGGCACTAACTTTGAACAAGACATTTTACTTGGCTTTACCTCCTCACAATAACAATATGAGTAGACAACATTATTATGCCCATGTAATAGGTTAAAAAAAATCCCTGAAAATCGGAGACACTGAACAACCACCTCAAGTTCAGCTGGCAATAAATAGGGAGGCTAAGAGTTGACTCTGAACATGTCTGCCTTCATGCTCATGTTTTTTATTATCATACATTGCTTGCTGACATTCGTCTTCTATAAAACTGACATTTCAACACGGCAATACCAATAGACAATGGTTGACAAGGAAACAAAGCAGTATGTTTGTTGGAAAAATTAGAAAAGTTAAAAAATTATAGCAGGAAAAATTTGCCAAAAAACAAGAATTATTAAGATGTGTGTGTGTGCATTTTAACTGCAATATCACACTGTGATGACACAGATACTGTGCCATTATTCTAAGAGAACATGCTGTTAGTAATGGGTTCACAGTGCTCACTTATATTAATCTAGAGCTGTGGCTGTATTCCATACGGTTTCCTAGGGTTTGGGTAATTAGGAGCATTACCAATTTAAAATGTCACCCAGACTCCAAAATTGACTATCAGGCTGTCTATACTTTTAGAAATAACAGTATTCTCTTTTCCTCATCCTCCCGAGGAAATACATCATCTTCATGTGGCCATGGTCTGTTGTAAGAACACTCACAAGTGCCATTTAAGAAATGGAGGCTGTTAAGTTGGAGAATGCAATCCACGGTCCCAAAGAAAAATGCACTACATTCAGAAGAATCTTTCTAGAACTTTCTTCGATTAAAAACACAACACTCTAAATTTCAAGTTCAGCCCAGGGTATGGATGCAAAGTTAAGAGACAATGGAAATTGTACCTGGATGCTCTGGGAACAGGTGCCCCGGAAATGTGTAAATGAAGTTCTTTATCTAATTTATTAAGATGGCACGAAGCACATCTTAGAGCAGTGTTTTCCAGTTCTCGTGATGCTGCAGACTAAAAACTAAAGGAACATCTCACCATTAGCAGAGAGATGGGGGAAAGGAAATTGGGAGAAAGAAAAAGAGACAGAGATGGGAGGGAGCCTTATGTGGTTGGGCTTTTGGAAATTTGGTCCATTTGGTAAAAAGATACTTTAACAGACCCAGGCCATATCTAGAGAAGTAGTGACAAATTATAAGCTGAGAAAATTTTCTAAAAATGCAAGCCAAAGTAACTTTAATCATTTGGCTATTTCAAAACAGAGTTAGGCCTTGAAAAAGAATCCAATCTTCTGCTAGCACTGTCCAGATAAGTCCATCTGCTGCCCACTTATGTGGATATTAAAAAATCTTAACAAGTAAATTTTCAGTCATGCCATGGGAAGAGACAGTGAGGAGGTAGAGGGACATTTCCCTTTCTCTACATAAGCCATGCAACTTTGGAAAACAAAGCCTTGGAGGACCAAGGATAAATTCTGTGGGGAAAAAAACCCTAAGAGTCAAAGCAAATACTTAGGCTCTAACGGAAATACACTACCTCAGCCCTTTCCATCTGTGGTTTCCAAGACTGTGGAAGAAGAAAAGTCATTAACACAGGTAATTCCATTATGCTTTCTTACATAGCACCTTAGGAAGCATTGGAGCTGCCTCTAATTGTATTTATTTCTTCTTATAGAGGTAATATTGAGCTCATTTCTTATTCTACCATTGGTAGGTCATCACAGAAGTGGATATATTTCAGGAATTTAGCAGTCATTGAATTATACTTTCATGCTCTGGGAAAAAATATCTCCCCTCAGGCAGAGGCAAAATAGAATAACTAAATCCCCTTGTATATGTAGAGCAGTTTACAGTTGCCAAAGGATGTTTGCCTGACATTATCTATTTGATCTTCATGCCTCTCTGGAATAGAAAGTACATACAGTTTTGTGCCCATTTTATTGATAAGCTGAGGCTCAGAGATACTAAGTAGCCAGCCCAAGTAGGTAGCAAGGTTGGTAAGCAGCAGTTGGCAGAGTTAGGATGAAAATCCAGTGTTTAACTCTTTGCACAACTCTCACTCTCTTTTTGTACAGAAAAAAAAAAGAGAAATGAGTGTACTGTGAAGAGATGCAAATCTGGCCATATCACACTTCTAACAGTTCCACACATCTGGGGGAGAAGGAGAAGGTCTCTCTGGTATGTTGTCCTGAGTCCTGAGCCATCCAGTAATGGCTGACCTTTTTTGTCTCTTCTTCTTTACTCCTCTCCTTTCTTCCGCACACACCCTAGGCTAGGAATCACGTCCCTTTACTTCATTCTGTGCTCCCTCATGTGCAATTCCCTGTGGCAGTGGGAGCCATCACCCCATACCAAATGTTCACGCTCTCTCAGAATGCAGCTGCCAGGAAGCAGCTGCCTACCCAAGACTACATCTCTCCACCCCCTTGCATCTACATGCATGGCCAGTGGAATGTGAGGCAAAGTGATTAGTGTCACTTCTGGGCCAAGGTGGTTAAAGGTCCAGCATACATTCCCTGCACTGAAGATGAAAACAGCCTGAATCTCTGGATCACCACTTTGGGAAGAGCCACTCAGAACACACTGGACATGGCATGAGCAAGAAATAAATTTTATTATGATCAACAGCTGAGATTTAGAGATCGTTTTAGTAGTAGTTGGTATCCACTGATCAATACATTGCCCCTAGATAACATTCCCTCCTCTCATTTTTCTACCTGGGAAACATCCTTTAAGACCTAGCTCAAATCTCATATCTCAGGGATGCATTCCCTGATTCCCCAGTCGGGGTAGGCTGGGTTCTCTGGTACCTTGCATGTCACTCTCTAACAGCACTTATCACAGGATATGACAAGTAGTTATTTACACAGTTGTCTTTCCTGCTTAGCCTGTGAGCTTACCAAAGACAGGAATCACATCATCTCTCAGTACCTAGTGAGCACAGTAGGAAACATAAAAACCATTAATAAATATTTGTTGCCTAAATGACTGAATGGGATGGCCCAAGATAGCAGTCTTTTAATTCCAACATCATTTTGAAATATCTTCAGGAAAGGCCTAAGACTTTTGTCTGCCATTTGGACTCTGGAAATGCTCTTGCATCACAAGGCAGCACCCAAAGAGGATGAGCTCAGGATGCTCTTGCTTTATTCAAGATTCATAGCCTGTAATGTTTCACTGAACCTTCCTTGTCTTCTGCATTCGGGCCTCTTTTTTATTTCTTGGCCTCCATGTCACCCCACGCATCTGACACTTTTTAGTCTTGATTTTCATGACCTCTATTCTTCCTCCTTGACTATGATTGGAACACGATCACCCTTCTGACTAGCTGAGGTAGCCTTCCGCCAGGTCCTTCTGCCTGAAAACAGGCGTTCTTAGAAGACTTTATGCTCTTTCCTGCCACAGGCCTTAGTACATTCTGTTCCTTTTGCTTGCTATGTTCTCCATTACACACAATCTGCTTTCAGTCTGCGGTCATATTCTTTCACTTACTCGGTGACTATTGTGCTGGATATTCTCTATTTGCTCCTCCAGATCTATCCTCCACTCTTCTTATCTTGGTCTTTGGCAGGAGCCTGACCTATATCGACCGTAACAATGGGCTTTCTTGCCACTGGATTCTAGTTGGGATAAGTCAAGGGAAATGACAATAGGAGATCAGAGGGAGTGAGGATGGTGAGGTCAGATTATTTATTCTTTTGGCTTCCTTTTTTCTGTGTCTCCATGGTTCTTGTCGGACTCCCATCTCTTACAGCTCTGATATTATGTCACATTTCCAGTAGCTACCTTTAGGTCCAGATAGAATAACAGGTTCACATTCTTGCTGGTAACAGAGTGCTTCACTATCCCTTCTTTGTTCCCCTAACTCTGCCTACATCTTTGTAAATAGTCACGTTATCTTTAACTCTCATTAAACACCCTGTGTGATGGTTAATACTGCGTGTCAACTTGATTGGAATGAAGGATACAAAGTATTCATCCTGGGTGTGTCTGAGTGGGTGTTGCCAAAAGAGATTAACATTTGAGTCAGTGGTCTGGGGAAGGTGGATCCTTAATCTGGTAGGCAAAATCTAATCAGCTTCTAGCAAATATAAAGCAGCCAGAAAAACTTGAAAAGGAGAGACTGGCCTAGCCCCCCAGCCTACATCTTTCTCCTGTGCTGGATGCTTCCTGCCCTTGGACATTGGACTCCAAGTTCTTCAGTTTTGGGACTTGGGCTGGC